GTGATGTCCTTACAGTTTTCCCATACTTCATTCAAATGGTTGAGACCCAATATTCGACTCAAGTTAAATATATTCGTTCAGATAATGCACCTGAACTGCATTTTGAAGACCTGTACAAAGCTAAAGGCATCGTTTCTTACCACTCCTGTGCAGAGACCCCTGAACAGAACTCCGTCGTTGAGAGAAAACACCAGCACATACTTAATGTTGCTCGTGCACTGATGTTTCAATCAGGCGTACCGTTGAGCTTGTGGGGTGATTATGTGCTTACCTCAGTTTTCCTCATTAACCGAACGCGCTCCAAGGTTCTCTCCAACAAGACCCCATATGAGATGCTTACTAGCAAAGCTCCTGACTACTCTAATCTTAAGACATTTGGATGCCTCTGCTATTTAAGCACATCTCCTAAACAGCGCCACAAATTTCAAGACAGAGCTCGTGCCTGTGTGGTTACCCCTCAGGATACAAAAGCTATAAGCTCCTTGACTTGGAAAGCAACACTGTTTTCATTTCCAGGAATGTGGTGTTTCATGAGACACTGATCCCTAATCTGCAACCGTCCTTACCTACTGGTTATGCAGAACTCTTCCCTCGGATTCCCGTCTCTACAGAGCCAGTTGAACCTGCCTCTTGCTCTGCTCCTCCAGTCATTCCGCGAGAGGTATCTGTTCATACAAAAAGGGTCTCTAAGCCACCACGTCATCTTCAAGATTATCACTGCTCCTCTGCCGTGTCATCTACGAAACATCCTATCTCCAACGTCTTGTCTTATGATGCCCTCTCAGATCCTTATATGATATTCATCAATGCTCTAAATAGCATTCTCGAACCTTCTTCATATACACAAGCGTGTAAGATAAGGAATGATGTGATGCAATGGGCATATAGATTACTGCTCTCGAAGAAAACGGCATTTGGATAGTATGTTCACTACCAGCATGGAAGAAAGCAGTGGGTTGTAAGTGGGTGTACAAATTCAATCTCAATTCGGACGGGACTCTTGAAAGATACAAAGCCCGCCTCATTGCTACGGGATACACCCAACAAGAAGGCTTAGATTATGTTGAGACATTCTCACATGTGTCTAAATTAGCCACTGTGAAACTTCTCATCGCTGTTGCGGCTGCAAAGGGATGATCTCACACACAACTAGACATTTCAAACGCTTTTCTCAGTGGGGACTTAGAGGAAGAAATATACATGACTCTCCCACTTGGTTACTCTCTAAGACAGGGGGAATCTTTTCCAGCTTAAGAAGTCTTTTTACGAACTTAAACAGGCTTCTCGTCAGTGGTTCTTGTAATTTTCTGCTTCTCTGCATCAGCTAGGTTTCAAGACTTCCTCTGGCGATGACACTCTCCTCATCAAGAACTCTGGCAACGTATATGGCTGTTTTAGTCTATGTTGATGACATAATAATTGCCAGTAGTTGTGATCATGCCACAGCCTTATTGAAGACAACTCTTGAAGCTTCCTTCAAACTCATAGATTTGGGCACTCTTCGTTACTTCTTGGGCATGAGGTAGCTCGCTCTTCTGCTGGTATTACTCTATGTCAGAGAAAATACATTTTGGATCTCTTGACTGAAACTGGATTACTTGGATGCAAACCAGTCTCAATACCTATGGTTCCTAGTGTTAAACTCTCCGCCGAAGATGGTGTTTTATTGGAAAATCCTGAAGTATATCGTCAGCTGATTGGGAAGCTCCTCTACTTGACATTTACCCATCCTGATATTACGTTTGCAGTCTATCGATTATGTCAGTTCACTGCGCTTCCTTGTTCTCCACATCTTCACGCAGCCTACAAAGTTCTTCACTATCTAAAATGAACTGTTGGCCAGGGTCTTTTCTACTCATCCAATTCCGACTTACGTATCTCACTACAAGAAAACTAAGAAGTTACTACGAAATTTTACTAGGAAAATAATTTCTCGTAAATTTACTACGAACTTACTTCGACGTTACGAGGAAACAAGTTTTCCTCGTAAGGTCCTCGTACAGGCGCGAGAAAAAGATTTTATCCACCATCACAGTCACAGCCGGCAACCAACTTTGGAGAGGAGCAGGATTTGGCGAGTCAGGACGAGTTCGTTCGGCAATTTCACGACCGGCATCCGTAGTTTTTTATATTTTTAATTGTATATTATGAATTTTACAACTTAATTGTATATTATTTAGTTATTTATAAAATATTTTATTTTTTATTTTTATTTATAATTTGATTTTTTTTTATTTTTAAAAAATAAATTATTTATATTTATAATTAATTTTTTTAATAGGGAAAAAAATATTTCGAAACAAAATCCTCGTAAAGGTTTCCAAGTAATGTCCTCGTAAATAATTCTAGTAAGTTCCTCGTAATGAATTACTACGAGCTTACGAGGAAAAGCTAACTACGAGCTTACGAGGAAACCCTACGAGAAAAACTAACCACACCTTTACGAGGAAAAGTTTCCTCGTAAATTAGCTAGGACCTTACAAGGAAAAAGGCTTTACGATGAACGTGTTTCGACGAAACGCGTTTCCTCGTAAGTTTCTAGTAAATGGTTATTTACTAGGAAATAACGAGGAAAACCCGTCCTAGTAATGGACGAGTTTTCTTGTAGTGTCTCTGCTAAAACTGATGCTTCTTGGAGCTCTTGTATTGATTCACGTCAAAGCATTTCTGGATTGTGTATGTTTGCTGGTTCTGCCCTCATTGCTTGGAAATCAAACAAACAAGACATAGTCTCATGCTCTTCTGCAGAATCGGAGTACATAGCCATGTCAGAAGCTGTTCGAGAAATTATATGGTCTCGTAATCTTCTTGAAGATCTTTGGGTTGTTCCTACCAGCCCTGCTCTTCTCTATTGCGACAACACTGCCGCTATTCATATTGCCAACAACGCGGTCTTTCACAAAAGCACAAAACACGTTGAACGTGACTGTCATGTTGTTCGTGAACGAATCGTTTCAGGCATGATTAAGACACTACATGTTAGTTCAGAGAATCAGCTTGCGGACATCTTGACTAAACCTCTATATCTAGGATCCTTTCGACATATCTTAAGCAAGATGGAGTTCATCAATATCTTCGCTCCATCTTGAGGGGGAATATTGGTTTATATTGATTTTTCAATCACTTTTTGGTTTAGTCTATCGTACATAATACACCCGGTTTGTTCCGGTTAAATAAACTTCTATATTGTATATAGTGACTCATTTTGGTCACATATTAATCTTAACAGAAAAGTTTCTATTTTGTCTTCTTCCTTCTCTCTCATACACCTTTCATACGCCATGTTTGTTTGAGGAGGAAGCTGCATTTCTGTTCATTTATTTTACTAAAATGTGGGAAACCATGAGTTCTTATACCATATTAGTGGGCCTAACTCACACCTAAAAGATAGCTCAAGAGTGGAGGATTTCTACATCACATATATAATGCCCAAGGATACTTATCCCAACCGATTTGGGATATTTAATAGCCCCTCTCAAGATGTGGGTGGGAAATGGTCCATAGGGAAACAGCCCAATCCCAAATCTCGGAAATAGATATCATATTAGTGATGAGTCTAACTCATATCCAAAAGTTAGCTCAAGAGTGGAAGATTGCCACATCACATATATAATGCACAAGGAAACTTATCCCAACCGATGTGGGATATAAAATATTCTGATTAGATCCTTCGCATTTTCAGAAACTTGTGGCATCTGATGACAATTATGCTTACCCTCCTCCAGAACCTCATTGAAGATTTCTTCTTCAGTTTCTGCTTAAACTAAAAACACACATGAGAACACCTTTCTACTTGTGATCAAAGCAACAAGCATACCTCCCCCAAAACCAGAGAGTAGCACGTAGATCATCACACCTCCGCTCCAAATATCTACTTCTGGACCGTAATCGAACTTCAGGTGCAATGAAGTATGAACTATATCAGTAAAATGTTCACCTTTAAAACAAAAATCTATATCTCAATAAACAAAACAGGACAGCAGAACAGAGGAAAACAAATCTGTTTGTGTAAATAACATAAGGAGGTGAATCAATAGCCTTAAGAGGCGAATCCTTGTGATCATTGACGAACCGAAAGTTCTCAGGTGTAAGATCTCTATGCATCACACCTAAAGACTGACAAGTTTGGACCACACCACGTATGGACTTTGACGCCTATTCCTGCCCTGTTCCTTTCTCTATACACACAAAGGTAGTCCCAAACTCCCTATGACCTAACTTTCTACCCAAGTTATAGCATTCCTTCAAATCCCCTGTCTTCTTTTTCAACACCGACTCTGCCTCTAACCCTGAGCTCGTCAGTCTCCTCATGTTATGAGGTTTCATTTTGCTGTTCCCACACGCGATCCTGGCCGCTCGCTTTTTCCTCTCACTCTTGTTTGCTTCTTGTTCCTGATGAGCATGGTGATCTGAGTTTGTCACACTCGTTTTGGCCTTCTCATCAAGTGGTTTAGAGTCTTCAGGAGTGTCAACCTTGGGTTTATCATCAATTTTGAGCATCAGCATCTGGTTGAGGAGGCTTGTCTGAGAGCTGTCTTCAGTGGATGATCCATGATGAGATCTGTGAGGCTGTGTAAAAAGGTTATGTAGTGTATGTATGTTTACATCCAAAACAGTTCCATCCTTTGTAAATCGTAACCAATCTTCCATAAAAAAGAAAAAAAAAAAAGTTATATTTCGGGTCTCTAATTCTACTCCATAACTCATACTCTTGACAATGTTTTCTTTAATCAGATTACCACTTAATAAAAACTACAGAATGTAGATAAACTTTTCAGACAAAGGTCAATGTGATAAAATGTTTTTGGTTGGTATGATTAAAAAAGGACGCAAACAAAGAGTAAAAATAGGGTAGTGATGAGAAGAAAGTTAAAGAAACCACTATGCAAAGACATGGGACGACAATCCCCCACAGCTAATAATAGTGTCATATTACATATTTGAAAAGTTATATTATGTCAAAGAAAGAAGAAGAAGAAGAAGAAGAAGAAGACCTCTTCTCAAACGTCCTTAGCCAAGCTCGAGAGATCAATTTCTCCAGAGGAGAAAGGCAGTCTACTGGCAGCATTTTCGTCGTCTATCTTCGGATGGTCCTGAATGGGTATCCCTCTCATGGTGGAGGTTGGGTCATAATCTCCGATGATGTCAAACAAGCTGCTCTTCATCTCTTCCACTGCTTCAAAGAAATGACGTTCGATGTCGTCTAAGTCGCTGCGGAGTTCCGGGAAGTTTAGGGGGGTTTCCTCGAATTGGTTAGAGAGAGCAGATCCACGCACCATCTGGTTTGTGACATCCTCTTCTGTGTGCTCTGTGATGGATTGCACAACTTCAGAGGGCCTTAAATGAGTTACAGAACATAGAGATGTAACGTTAGCAACTTAAAACCAAAACAAACCACCAAGTGTTAGTAATTCTAAACAAACCTAATGGTATATTTGAATTTTATAGAGTGTTGATAACTCAGTCCAATAGTCAAATTATTGGACTAAAGTAAGGCTAAGTTCAAAGCAGAGAATGAAAGATGAGAAACCACTCTCACTTGCCAAAACAGTGGCGGAGGATTTCTTCGGTTTTGTCGCACTTCCTGACGAACTTTCCAGGCTCCACCTCCTCTGTCTTGCACTTTGATCTTACCACCGTGGTGGTGGAGCAATTTCCGTCGGCGGCGGAACCTCCGAGCGGTTGATCGGTGAGATCATTATCGGGGTTGGAAACGGATGAATCGTCTTTCCAAACCCAACCCATGCTTAATTGTTGACGATGATTTCTTTGTTTCTGGATTCTTCCTCAAGCAAAAAATAAGAGGCAGTGGTTTATTTATTTTTTTACCCCACGCATTTTGTTCTTGAAACTGACTTACAAATACCCAAGACACGTAGGAGTTATTTTTCTTTTCTTTTAAACCAGTGAGTTATTTTTCTAATATCTACAAACTTTATAAGTTAATATTTTAATAAATGTAATGAATCATATTGTTAGTCTGAACCTAAATTAGTTTATAATTTGGTAAATTAATTAAATAGAAACAAGAAAAAAATTACCAATATAGAGTATGAAAATCCGAAAGTGAGAGAATTCAATGTGTAGTTTTGGTTTTCTCTTAATTCAGTGTGTAGTTTTATCCTTTTTAAATTAGTTTCTATCTTTTTTACAAGAGAAAATTTGTTCAATATACCAAAAGAAACTCAATATTAGGGATATGTCATAGTTTTACGGGAAAAAATAGTGAAATAGGGGAGGAGAGATAAGAGAGAAAGAAGGTAGATAGTTAATTTAGGAGTTTAGTTTGTATATGGGGTGCAAATTCTTTTTTTTTACAATCTTTTAGTAATTTTATTACTTGTTTTAAAACACGGCCTACTACAAGGTTGATTAGTTAACTTAAATTCTTTTGCTTTAGAAAATAGGCAGTAGATTTTCTTCTTTTAGCTTTGATTATTTTGCTGTAGATTTATTTTTAAAGCATTAAATAAAATCTGTAGAAAAAATTGATTTTAAAAGTTAAAATCTTTTCTTTTTTAAGCAGTTTGCTGTAGCTTTAATTTTTAAAAATAAAATTTGATTGCTTTAGAAAAATGCTTTAGAAAGAAAAAAATGACTGTACAAAATATTTACAACACTTACCAATCAACCTCATATTGATGTTCAGAATCTCATTGGATATGGTTTAGTTGATACGAATTCTTGGTATCATGACCATAAGTTTCATTCAGGTTTTATTAATTGTCGGAATCGGTTCGGTTTCTTCTAGATTTGGTTCGGTTCAGATTATAACCAATGTCTAAAATCATTGAAAATAATTATTTTTAATTAAAAAATTGACAAATATACTCAAAATATATAAATTATTCAGAACTTCAAATTAAAAATTATCTAAACTAATTAAAAAATTAAATTAACAAATAAAAAAAACTACAAAAATCTTTAAAATACTCTAAACTTCTAAATTACTTTAACATAGTTAACTAATTTTGACTAATTTTTGGATTTCAGTTCAGTTTTGGTTGTACTCAAACTCCAAAGTATCAAAATCTTAATTCTTGTTCAGATAATTTTGTGTAATAGTTTGGATCGAATTTTGTTTTTTTTTTTTCGCTTCCATTTAAAATAGGAAATTCGGTTTAGATACAAACGTCCAGACCTACGACCATTTTGGACAGGTTGTCTTTGCGTCCGTCTATTTTGATTTGAGCATGTGTCTGATTTTACTTAACGGATCATGTAAGTCAAAGTCATACGCTTAATGTTCAAAAAAACTTGAGGACCTGTCTGGTGTAGCTAAAGCTATTGGCCAGTTTGGGAAGCGAAAGCTACAAACGGCTTGTAGATACCAAAGGTGGAACGATTCGATAGAGGTAAGAAAAAATGGGCATAGTCAGAGTTGGTCTCGAAACTTTTTTATTTAACTAAAAGCTCTTGAAGATTTTGGAGACCCTATTCAAAATAAAAGTGTTTTAATATTTTATTTTAATATTAAACATTTCAAAATAAAAATTCTGTTTAAATTTCTTTAATTTTTTTGAGGTTTACTAACATAAAATATATTATTTATTTTATTATAAAACTTATTCATATTACATACCATAAATTAATTTACAGTTTTATTATTATATAGACCATATTTTTATATTTTAGTACAAAAAATATATTGTATATATTTAACACTATATAATAATATTAATATACATATGTAGATACAACTGATTTTTTAAAGGGGGTTCTATATATTAAACAAGAGATTAGTAAAAACTCTTTAAATTAATACTGTTTGGACTATGATACTTTATTAATTTAAGAGTTATTAATTTTTCAATAATTTCCTTTTTATATATTTCTATTTTAAAGTATATTTTCTATAAAAAATATATATTTGATTTTAGTGTATATACATTAATTATTTTTTTGAAATTCAATATACATATTTATTTTATTATATTATTTGGTGTAGAAAATATGTTTCATAGAATATAAATGTGGTTTTAGATACAATTTTACTAAATCTCATCAAAATATATTAAGTGTTAAGAATATATAATGATAGCTGTATTATGAATATAAAAAAAATAAAATGATTTATTTTTATTTATATAAAATGTATATAAATTATTAATTTATAATTTTAACAAAACTATATATTTATATAGATTTTTTAAAAAATTATTGATTTGTTTCCTATTTCGAACCAGACCTATTTGGGACAAGAAAAATTTATTAATTTTATGGTGTTATTAATTTATGGAAAAAATAATTTATAGAATTTCTGCTGTATTAAAATGTTTCAAAAGCATTCCACAGCCAAATATGATGCATTTTGTTCTAGAGTTTCTTCTGATTTTGTTTTAGGTTGGTGTGGTGGTACCAACCAATTTCGATTTCTTTTATCTGGTTACGACCTGTATTCAGTTAACTAGAACCCATATAGGAGTAATTAGTATAATACTTATTTTAAAAAAGCAATCTGGGAGCTGTATGTGCCTTTTGAGAATGCTAAAGGTGTGAAATAAATATGGCATCTTACTGTTGTCCCAAAAAATAAGTTATACTACCAAACTAGATGATAACCCGCGCGCATGTGCGGGATGAAATTTTTATACTAATATTTATTCATCAAATGATTTTTAACATTTTGCAATATTACAGTATTTATCGATTATAAAATGATGAATACAAATGTTGGTATCTTAAATCATCATAGGTCTGGACGTTTGAGACTTCGTCGGTTTTAGTTTGATTGACACGTATTTTCATATTTTGGTATTATTCTCATAAATCCTATTTGAATTTTACTAATTATCGGATTGGATTCGATTTGATATTCTCAATTTAGTTTAGATTGGATTGTAACCAATATCTGAAATCATCCAAAAAAATATTTGTTAAACATTAAAAGTTGACAAAAAAAATCAAAATATTTAAACTATTAAGAAATCTAATTTAAAATTAGTTAAATTATCTAAACAAACTAAAAGATATTAAAAAAAAGAAGCAAATCAAACAAACTACAAAAATCTTTCGAATACTATAATTTGTATCTACTAACCTCAAACCTTTTCACTGAAATTTTTAAATTAACATATTTATAGTATGAATATCTACTAATGATACTTCATATTTGTTCGATTTATGATAATTTGTATCTTCTTTGGGAAAAAAAAAACAAAGTTAAACCATTGATCATAAAATTTTCAATGTGGGATTTTACTATTTTTAGTTATTTATGGTCGTTTTAAAAAATTAAAACTATAACCTATAAGAAAAAAAATTAATTTTTATTATATTTTTGAATGTAATTGTTTAATTTATTTTATTAATTTAAAATTAAACAAAAAAGAGAGAGGATACAAAAATATGTATTATTCATAATCATTAATTACATATATATGTTAATCATATTAGGTAATTCCGTAGCTTTTATTTAAGGAAATAAAATATATTGTTTTATACCTAGCAGAGTTGGTCCCTTAAAAATGTGTATATATTATAGTCCTAAATGCAAGAAATTAAATGTTACATTATTTCATTCCTTGCAAAGTTGGTCCATTAAAAAATTAAAGCTAAGAAGCTCTGTGAGCTTGACATGTAAGCATACTCTCTAAGATTGTGCATTTATGAATGCTTCAGGATTAATATATAAGGGATGTTTTTTAATTCTACTTCTATTCTTAACAGTTTCAGAGTTCAAATTAATAAATTAAAGATATATGTGTAAAATGAATTTGGTGTGATATTTTTGTTTTTTTCTGAGTATTTGAAAACAAAAATAAAAGGAAGTTTGGTTGTCAATGTCAACACATTCTATCATCTATAATTCTGAGCCGGTTGGGGTTTGATAAGTCGTTTTCGAGTGTTTTGTTTATTTCTCTTGGTCAATTGTTTATATCTGTTTGCTCCGAAAGATTACACCAAATTCATTTTTCAGCGTTTTTTTAAGTAAAGATATAAGAAAGACACTGCTCAAAAATCCACATTTATTCGATGTTATCTATGCAATTTGTCTGATTTACCTAACGGAATAATGGATTTGAACCCACTAGATTATAAGTTTCTTCTTTTTCTCATTTTTTCTATTGGGTTGACAACTCAGTTTTTTATTTAAATCTAATTTATTAAAACTGGAACATCCTTATTATTTACCCCTACAACTATTTAGAATATTACTTTTATTGTCATTAAACCTACCTTTAAATAATTAACTACCACTATTTAAAATATATTCTATCTATAACCAGATTTAATATTTTATAACCTCTTCTTCCTTCACTTCCTATAATATAGGATCCATTATTTTGAATAGAAAAAAATCACATATTTCTAGCAAGAAAGAAAATTCGACTATAATATATTTTATAAATACATCAATCACATCATTAATGACAATCATTGCAAGCAATTCATCTATTAGATGTTTTCACTTCCTCATGCTCGATACCATCTATATATATATTCGTATCAATAACAATTAATGTTATTATTAACATCAATTAATAACAATCAATTTATTAATGTAAAACATTAAAATAAAATATATTTTTGAGAGATTAAAATAAAATAAAATATAATATAATTTAACATATTTGAATTTGATAAAATACAATAATAAATTTGGTTAACATTAATATTATTTGATTATATGGTATATGTAGCTTATTTCATAAAAATAAACATTTATGACGTATGAAACATATTGAATGTCATATAATTAATTTATATTATAATCAATATTTCATTAATATTATAAGAGAATAATTTTTTACAAATACTAAAAATTAATAAAATATATTCATATTACAAGTATGGATCATCTTAAGATATAACACAACCGTTGTTCTAAGTTGTATCACTTTCCAAAACCCATAATGTAACAATTATCCGGATTCGAGTTATATTAGATTGGTTTGGATATATCCGAAGTTAAATGTAAAATTTAAAAGTAAAACATAAAAATAAATTTATTTATATATAACTGGATATTTAAGACACTTATATAAAATTGAAATATTTAATTTTAGATATCATTTCAAAATAAATATAGAATTAAATATTTGAAGTATATATTAATGTTTCAAATATTTATATTTATGATTAGTTTGGATTAGAATTAGTTTGCGGATTTTTGGTTTTTTCAGATTATATGTTCGAATCCAGCTAATAACATTTTAGTTTTGAATATGTTTTGTATCATCCTGAAAGATTATTTTGATGTTTCTTATATTTCAGATTGGATACAGATAAATTTTATATACTTTGGATTCGATTCAGACTTTAAGTTATGGATTTTATTCCTAAATCTATTTTAAATAAAAAATAATATATGATTATATAAAATTTTCCTCGATAAATTATCCCGCGCTTGAAGCGCGGATCAAAATCTAGTAATCTTCTAAAGCCAATGCAAGCTAAGAGCATCCCCACCAGTGTTACTGAGGTGGGGTTTGCCAGCTGTTTTTTTTTTTTTTTTTTTTCGTTTACTTTTTCAAAAAAAAAAAAAAAAATTGGCGAATCACGGCCCACCACGTGGCGAACTCGTGACGAACCGGGTTCACCACGACGAACCCACGCGCGCCGAATTCATCACTATTTCCCTCAGTAAACGTGTAAACCCCCCCTTAAATCCCCTAATGGGGGTGCTCTAAGAATCTAGAAAATATATTTCAACTCCCTCTCGTCCTCTCGACATTTCAGAACGACTTAATTATTTTTTTTTGTGGTATTGTAGCAGATACGTAAGCTGTGCCAAGAGTTTTTAATGCCCTAAACCAATACAATATTATATTTAATCTCTTACAAATTAGATAATTTTATGAAAGAAAGGAAACTCTTTTATTATATTTTAAATTTTTTAAAAATATAAAAATGCAACCTACAAAAGTCTTATATATGCATGATTTTATTTTAGATATATAAACTAAGCACTAATAAGAAAATAAAATAATTAATAAGAAGAACTGAACATATGAAATGAAGAAAAAATCATTATTATGATAAAAAAAGAAGAAGATGAGGATATATATATATATATATATATATATATATATACAGAAATTTAAAAGGGATATATTTGTAGTTATAATAATTGGTAATAAATATTATTTAACAGTTAATTTATAATTTTAGAAAATAAAGAAAAAATATATTGTTAGTGATACGTAATCAAGTTGAGAAGCATTAAAAACAGTTTTAGTGCCCTATAAAATTTTCACTAAAATTATTTGCCACAGCGAATGCTTCAAAATTCCTTCATGTATAATTCAACTTGTTTACAAAAGCAAAAGTCATAACACTTATTGTGAAATTTACCCTTAACTTCTTCCTTTACAGATTTCGACTAATATATACAATCATCAGTTAGTGACCGAAAATGAAAGCTTTATAAGGAACTGAAGTAGATAAATACCATGAACACTATTATTGACTTCGGTTCAGGATTCTCTAGGTCTATTAAACAATTAATCAGGACATCCTGATAGTGGCGAGGGAACATGCTAAGGATACAACCTCGACGTGGGGAGTAGGGAGGGAACTAGGAAGCGGCGAAGTTCGACAGACAGGACAAGTAGGATTGAGTCTAAGCCACGTGTCGACACATTTGAGGTGGAATAGGTGGTTACAATCTGGCAGTTGCCGCAGCATATGATTCCCTTTGAAGTCTCCTAAGCAAATGTGACAACATGAAGACATGGAGTTTCCCTTCACTTCCGAGTATAGGATCTTCGAGTAGCTTTGAATAGTGTCCTCGTCGAGACCTTGGACAGCGTCGATGATGACATGATGGTGGTGGTGATGTACACGAGTCACATCTTGATTGGTTTGTGAAGGTGATGAAGAGCTCTGGTTACGTGTGCAGAAGTAAGATGTGAGTGTGATGGTTGTGATGAGGAGAATCACTCCGATAGAGACTCCGACTCCGTAACTGAATCCTCCGGAGAAAGCCGGCATCTGCGGCGGCGGTTGAAAGGCATTCATGGTGGGTGGCTGCGGTTTGATGATTTTTGGTTCATGGGGTTTAATTAGAAGAGGAAGATGATAAATAATAGAGGTTTGGTCAGCTATTTGATTATAAGATATGGATAAAGAAGCATGTTGGGAATATAAAAAGTCAACGCTAAGAGAAGGGATGAGATGCATGGAAAGCGTGGCAAAGCAAGCATGGTTTGACCTTTTGGTTTTAGTAATTAATCCATGTATATATGAAATTGCTAAAAATAAAATTCATTGTTATTAAAATATGTGTTTTAAAATTAAAATTTAGTGTTATTCAAATTGTAATTTCATAAATACTCTAAAATACACCGTAAATGAATAAAATCTGAAGAGGATATTTTAGAGTGTTTTAAATGTTTTTAGAGTGTTTGAGATGAGTTTTTTAGGTATAAAATTAAAAATCTGAATCTTATAAATTTAGATGAGATTCTAGAGTTGTTTAACAAAAATAACACAAATTCTAAGATTCACCTATAATTTTTCTAAAACTTTATTAAAATCAAATTGTGTATTGTATAAGCAAATCCTCATTAGTTCTATATTTTGCGTCATGAAAACCAGACGAGAAAATAACAACATATTAAGGCATGTTTTTTGGGACACTTAAGATGAAGTTCTTAACTTATGATTTGACATTTTTATATTTTTTTGGCTAAGAATCGACTCTTAAATAAGAGTTTTAAAAACGATTCTTAATTTTTCTTAGTTAAAAATAAGAAACGGTTCTTATATTATGTTAATAACCCATCCTAAGAACCATGCAATAAATATGGTCTTAGATTAAAACACTATAGCTGTCATCTCTCAATCTTTTTTCTCTCTAAGTATCCCAATATAACTTTGCCTTTGTTGGTTAAACAATATATAATTTCCCCAATGATAGAAAATAAAACATTGTCATTGTGTAAAATAATATATAGTGGTTTTACTTAGCTAAGCAAAAATAGGTAAGATCATAAATAACCTCATCTTCTTTTTCTGCACTTCATGGCCACCAGTCACACCCGATACGCTGAACAATTGTTTGTTAATTGCGTCATTGCATTCCTACATGACGTTTATTTCAATATAAACAGATGAATTCGAATGCATAACAAGAAAAACGACAGGATGTCAATAAAAAAGAAAAACAAGAAAAAGACAGAAGGTATATATAAACGAACATACCATACCATACTTTTATAAGGTGCTTGTAAGGTAGTTCACAATCAACAGGCCATCACGAATATATAATCATTTATGCATAACACCAGCAAATGATTGAAACATCATAACAACATATCCAAGGACCAGACTTAGTTAACATGGAATGAGACCATCAAGATAATGAGACCAGTTCAAAAAAAGATAAGAGACATTATTCTAAAAAAAAAAGCAGATGTCTTTTTAGTTCCAAAAATACTCTTACTATTTTTTTTGGTCTTGGAGTGTTGGACCCTTGGTTATCCTAAAATTCATGGGCTTTAAGACACTCTTTTTCATTCGGGTCGGACACTATGCCATACGACATTTAACCTTTTGTGCGGTCAATGATACTATTGAATTATAGATCTTGAAAATGGTTGGCTGCCTAAAACCCCCTGTCAAATTTGCACACCCTATTTATTTCCCCCTGAACTTCTTGGCTCTTGACCAACCCACCCTGAAATATGAATTCTCTTCATATCTCTCCCTTAACTTTTCTAATCTCCCTCCCTAATCAATTTTAAAATCGTAATTATAGATAAATTAATTGCGTTTTGTTATATTGCCATTGCCCACTAAGAAAAAACCGATCAAGAATTAAAAACTACTGATCCGAGTTAATTTGAAATTGAAATCGAATTGAGGCTAAGCTAAAATTAGGGTTTCGATTTTATTTTTCTAAAATCAAGAATTGACGACGAAGAACACACATACAACGAGGAACAGAGAGGGAGACAAAAGAAACATTGAGAGACACGACGCCGACAGAGGGAGATACGACGACAAGAACAACGAGAGAAACAAGGAACATAGAGAGAGAGAGAGAG